CCCCAGCACTGAAAAAAAAAAAAAAAACCAAGAATTAGAGAAAGTGAGTGAAGGGAAGGAGTCTATGAGTGGAGTTAATACTGCATTCCTGAAACAAGAAGAGAATACTAACAAAAAGAGCATTCAAAGATAGGTCTTGGATATTAAACATATAACAGAAATTAAAATCTCAATGAAAAGGAAGGAACTTAAAGTTGAAAAAGTGCCTCAAAAAGCACAGCAAAAAAACAAGATGGTAGAAAACAGAAGAAAAAAACAATGGAGGATCTGTCCTGAAGGTGGCACTACAAATAATGAGCGCCAAAGAAAACAGGGGAAGCTGGGACCAGCAAAATATTCTGAGAACTAAGACAGGGGTTTCCAGGTCCAAAGAGCAGAACTGGTGAAAAGAGAGGCACTCAGGGTACGTCTTTGGGAACTGGAGGAACGCTGCAAAGTAGAAGGAGATGGAGCCTGCCTGCAGAATTCTGAAGGAAAATAGATTGTTGATATAGAATTCCACATTCAGACCAGCTACGAACCAAATGTTCTGGAGTGAGCAGAAATAATTTACTCCCAACACATCCTGTTTAGGGAGATACTAAAAACGAGGACAGAGGAAACAGGAAGCCCAGCATCAGAGGAAGGAGGGAAGAAACTGTGGTAGTAGGAAAGAATGGGCTCTGGCCAGATCTCCTCCTCAAAATATGAGAATTTAACTAAATAACAACAGTTAAAGAAATCTACACAGTATCTTTATTTAGAGAAGAAAAAACAGGAAAACAGAAGAAGGGGTGACAACAACAGCACCAGTCACTGTGGTTGTCTCTGTGCTGGTGGAGAAAGCCACAGTCCTCTGAGGACACAACTGCTTTGGGGTGAAGGGTGGGGACATGAGGAACAACTACTAACGTCACAGAATCTCTTTACGTGATGCAAATGTTCTAAAGCTGACTGTGGTAATGGATGCACAGCCCTGAGAACACACTAGGAACCACTGGACTGTACACTTTAAGTGGTGAGCTGCACAAGACGTGAATCATACCTCAGTAAATGTGTTTAAAGGAAATTATTCAGCAGTGCACATGGAAGGGAAGAACCAGGAAGCCCTCTGAGAAAGACAGGCCCAGCAGAGATGTGCTCTCACGGTCCTGGCTTTAGCTTACAACACGGTACTTGGTAAGAGCTGGCTTCAGTTCTCCTGCTCAGAAAAATGCTTAGGCAAAAGTAAAGAAGTTTAAATGAGAGCGACTCAAGCGTCTTCTTGTGATAAACACTGCTTCTCTTTAATAGAGCAGCACAGATAGCTTAGAAAGCGTCACTTAACTGCTCCATCACCCAATTTAAAAGCTTCCCCAAAGGTCCAATTAAGAAATCCAGTAAAGGGATGGAATTTTAAAATGCACTCACTAGCAAACAAAAACAAAACACATACACACAAGAACTGAGCCAAAGCCTAGTGACTCACAGCTCCCAGCAGACCCATGTAGACTCCTGAACTTGACAAGAGTCATGCAAGAATCAGCAGGAAGTCAGCACAGAAAGCAGCTCTAGAAAAGACTAGATGGCCAAACTGATGCTGCAAGTGAGAACTCAGGAGAAAAACAAACTAGAGTGGCCATGTTTGGTCTAGCTGAAGACAAGACCACAGAAACGTGCTCAGAATCACTTAGAATAAAATAGTCTCCTGAAGTACTGAACTCTTAAAATGTCATACCAGTTCAGCCCTTAGATAGCGAGTACTCTGGATGACTTTTTGTTTTCTTAATTGACCAATGCACTTAAAGTCCATGAACAGCTAATTTTTACTAAACTTCATTCTAGCAAATTCATTTAAGTTAAATGGCCACAGAGAACAAAATACTCATATGTTTGCATTCCTACAATTTGAAAGCAATGGGATCAGTTTTTTTCAGGCTATGAATATGCCACACTCCACACGAAAAGTGTATTTTATTCCAAAATTTGGAGTGAAAAATACAACTTGAAAAGAAATGCCTTCTCAGCCTTGAGTCCGGTGACATTAACATTAATGACGACCCCATTTGTTTCAAAGGCACATTCCCAAGTGTTTGTATTTTGAAAAAAACGGGTCTGGAAAGTCATCTTTGGTGAGCATGGCACTGTGAAAGCCGGCCTGCTAGATGTGTAACAGCTGCGCCCGTGTTCATGACCCTGCCAGGCTTTACGGTTTTAGACCAGGTGGGCACAGACATGTAGCACCGATCAGTGGAAGGGAGGGTAGGGTCTCCATGGCTACAGGTCTAGTCAGAATACAGTTTTGCTTTGGGTTAGCATTGTACAACCAATGCATCGTGGACTTTCAGAAGTGTTACAGTATTGGTTACAGAAGGACAGGACAAAACACTTCCATTCTTTTACAAACATTTGGAAAATGACTCAATTCGTATTTGTGGAATTTAAATTTTATTTGAGGAGATATGCATATTAAATGTGCTATGGATCTAATTTGTTCGCTGGCAGTCACTGAGGGTCTCAGGGCACATTACCAAGCAGAAACTGGTTAGGCGGTACTCAGAAACTCCTTTTGTTCTGATGCCTCTGTTTACACGGTAGAAAGAAGCAACAGAAAGCCTGCCATCATGACGTTAGCCAGGTTCAGAAGGCCAAAGCCGAATGTTCCCTCTCATATATGGAATACAGACTTAATACAAATACAGCAATATTATGAAAAACAGGTCGCGCTAAGGGGAGGTCACTAACAGGAGAGGGAGGGTGAAAGAAGGAAGTTAAGGTGAATATGGTTGATACACTTCCTGTACAAGAATGAATATAGAATTTTTACACCTTGTGAAATCAAGGTAAGAAGGGGAGTAAAGTAGAAAGGGGAAAAATGGAGGGGATGAACCAATTTGGGTTATGATACATATAAACATGGAACTGTTACAATGAAACACCCTGTATATCTATCTTAAACAAAAATGTCTTTTTTGTTTTCTTTTACAAAATCAGAGAACGGGAGGGCAGAACATGTCCTGTCTGGGGGGGTTGATACCAGTGGGAGGAGGAAGGAAGTGGGGAAAGGGTGTGGGAGGGTAAATACATTGCAAATACTGTATACACATGTATGTAAATGGAAGAATAAGATCTGTTGAAACTGTTCCAGGAATGGAGGGAGGGGAACATAAAGGAGAATGATGGAGGGGGCAAATTCAACTATGATATATTTGACATACCGTAAGAACTTTTGTAAATGCCATAATGTACCCCCAGCACAACAATGAAAATTAGAAAAAAGAGTGCTTCAGTAGGAAGTCAGTGGGCTACTGGTATGCAGAAGGGGACCAGGCAGGACGACTTTGCCTGGTGAGTGTCTACAGCCCTGCCACTAATCTCAGCTTCCTTCTCCACCTGTGTACCAAAGAGAAGTCATAGTGGAAGGTGGATGGGTTTGCTACTATCAGAGGAATCTGGGTAAGCAGAAAAGCTCAGCTCTTCTGATTCTTACAAAGGTTATCAGGCCATAATGATTAGGATGCTGAAAGGGTGCCTAACACAAGTGACCCAGGAGGTCCTCACAAGCTGCCCTTTTCCAGGCAATCTCCTGGGAGCTCTTAACTGAGCCAACTGACTCTTCTCAAAGGCCCCACTCAACTCTGTCTGTCTTTCTCCCCTCTCTCCCTATCCCCCTGACTGTGTGTTCCTGGGGATCAAGCCCAGGGCTACCACTGAGTCACATACTCTCCCCTACTTTTTGTTCTTTTTCAATCCCTGTCTCACCTTGGTACATACAGTTATCATGAGACTCACATATAATCAATATGAAAATAATCAAGTACAAAACACTAATAGGGCTTCTAACCAAACTATCAAACAAGTGGAAAGAGTCATGCTTATAAACAAATTAAAAGAAACTATTCAACAAATTAAAACAAAATCAATACAACAAAAAGCTCTAATTTCTGAAGGATACATATTACTTTTCAAGAATAATTTTAAAAAAAACCCAAAACCCTTTTTTTCTACAGAATATGAAACTTTGAACTCACCAGACTGTAATTTCCCCCGATTAGTGTAAGTTTGTATTGGTCTGTCCTTTTTTTTTTTTCCCAATGTGGTAGTTTGACAATGAAATGCCTTTTGAAATTATTTGAAAATTAATAAATTTCTTTAGCCAAAGATCATAAATGTCCACAGGGATAAACTGAGTGAGTCAAGCATATGGACGGGCTGAAGGTAACTACAAGCAGAGCTTGTCCAGAGAAGACAGACTGGCGTTGGCCTGTGTGGAAGGAGAGCTGGGACTCAGGGCTGTCAAACTGCCTTCCACTTTGGAAAGCTGGGCATGTGCACCTTTTTTGGTGGGGAGGGATTACTGGGGTTTGAACTCTGGGGCCTCACACTTATGAGGCAGGTGCTCTAACACTTGAGCCCAAACTCCGGTGCTTTTTGCTTTAGTTATTTTTTAAAGAGGTGCTGGCTTCAGACCCTAATCCTTCTACTTCTGTGTAGCTGGGAATATAGATGTGAACCACCATAACTGGCTTATTAAGTGAGATGGGGTCTCCCTAACTTTTTGCCCTAGCTACCCTCAAACCATGATCCTCCTAATCTCTATCTCCTGAGCAGGGGGATTACAGGTATGAACCACTGCTCCTACCCTCAAGATGTGGAATTTTTTATGGTGAAATCTCTTAGTGCTTACTAAGAGATTAACTTTTTAGTAACTGACTGAAAAAATGTTAAAACATGCACAAGCCACAAACATATTTGCAAAGGTGATCTGATATCTAATTTACACACTCTACCACATTTGTTCTACAGAAAGCTATTTTATAAACCATCTCAATGTTCAAAAGAACTTTGGTGAGGCCGTTATACCCTGATTCATGATAACTTATTCAACAATGTCTGGTTTTTCTTATGGAAAATATATTAATTGTGGCAAACAATATAAACTATCTTACCAATAGCAGATGGGTAGCACTAAGCAGTCCTTCTTTTACCAAATACTGAGACATCACAGGCCTTCCTGACCCCCGTCCCTTCCTGGCACTAACCTTGGCCAGAGGAGGAACCAAGTCTGTCTTGTTTGCAGTTACATCCCAGCCCTAGCACAGCCTGCAACACAGTAAGGGACGAAGAAGTGTTGAGAGCGCCCCCACGTCTGAGAGGAACTGCTACTCCCAGTTCCTTGGTGGTTAGACTGCCATGACAGAGTTCTAAGCAAGAGAACGAGGGTATAAGCCACACACACCATCCCAAGCCTGGCCCGGAAACACCCGTGCATCTGCCACCTCCTCTCCCCCGTACAGGAGGCTGGAAGGCAAGCAGTGAGACAGACTACCATGAAATGGACCGAGCCCCAGCCCTGGAAACAGAGGATCTGGACAAAGGAAAACTGCACAAGAGACATCTGACATTCTGCCCAACCTTAGCAAGAGCACTCTGAGATTTAAGAGTTTAGTGCCACCACTAGCATTCGCTGTGACTTAGTACAATGTTTAAAATTCCTCAGTGAATGAGCAGGCTAAAGAGTAGAGTAGAATCTAGGTATCAAAATTCAAAGACCCCTACTCCCCAGAGCTGGGAGACAAAGCCAAAGCAATGACAGGCACCCCCAGACGGACACCATGGCTAGGACACCAGAACACATTATGACTACAGAGAAGCTCTCTCAAAATGACCACAAAGGCAGGAAAGCAGCTAAAGGAGGGCAACAGCTCCAAGAATACCTGTGTATCTCAATAAAGGCAGAAAAGGCATGTGACAAGAACTAAGATCCATTATGATGTAAAAAACAGAAACCTCTCATCAAACCGAGTACAGAGAAACTACCTGAGCCTCTAAAGGGTATCTACAAGATCATACAGCGAGGTGCCCTCCTTGCGTGCTGCTGTAGGCCTGCTAGCTACTACTGGAAGGGCCAAGTTCATGAAACCCAGGAAAGCGGTGCTGGTCCTGGCTGGACACCTCTCTCGATGCAACACTGTCATCGTGAAAACACTGGTGATGGCACTTCAGCCCACTCCAACAGTTCTGGTGGCTGGAACTGACCACTATCCCTGCAAAGCGACAGCTGCGATGGCCCAGAAGAAAATCTCCATGAGATCCAAGATCAAGTGTTTTGTGAAGAAAAGTAAAAAACAATTAATACACCTTATACAACATGAACAACTCTCAAAACAGTTGCGGTAAGAAGACAGATGAAAGAAGAGTACATACTGTATAATTCCACTTATGTAAAAATCTAGAAATGCAAATTAATTCACAGTGACAGAGAATTAAGACTACCTGGAGAGCAGAAACAGAAAGGAGGATGACCGAACCACAATAGATGACCAAGGGAGGACAGTGGTGACAGTCTCATGACCATATTCACACTGAAGTGTGCCATGTGGCATGCTGTCCCTCTCCATCAACAGCTCAACTAAAATGGGTTTCAAATATGTGCAGTCATTTAGTCAGAGCCTCTACTGCCACAAAACAACATAACCAAAGACAGTCTGACCAAGTGCAAGAATATTTTCAAAGACTTGCCTTATTTTCAGCACTCTGCTTCAAGAACAGATAATTCTTTAAATTTTCAAATTACCTTAAAGTTAAACAAATAAGACTTAAGTTCTTTTAAAATCAAAGGGGGACTAGTGGAGAGGCTCAAGTGGTAAGAGTGTCTTCCTAGCAAGCATGAGGCCCTGAGTTCAAACCAACCCCAGTGCTGCAAAAATGAATAAATAAAAATAAATAAATAAAATCAAAGGGACTGAGTGTCCGTTTAGGTATGATATTGGGTACATACAGAACACACTTGTGGGACTACATAAAGAAACCAGAAACTTTGATAAAGTGAAATACATTTGTAGCTTTTAATACCTGCAAAAGAATGTCACTACCAAAATTTAAGATATTTTTTCTTAGCTTATAACTACTTGATTTTAAAATGAAAGCAATCACATTTTTATGTTAATGCTATTCCTTAAAAAAAAAAAAGGCATCCCATTACACATCGTATAACCCAAAAAGGAAGTACACACTCTGTCCCAAAAATCTCAAGTAAGAGAATACAGATGCATCTGGACTGGACTTGCTAAAGGTCAGGTTACTTTAAGCCCCAATCAAAGTTCACCCTAGGAGCTACAAGTGGAGTGTATCCCCCCCAAAACCTCTGCAGTGGTGATTATTGTAAGAAAAATCTAGGCCATGCTAAGGTAAAGAGAGCAAAGGATGCTGGATAGGTACCGACAAAGCTCAACAATGGTTCTACAACAAGAATGTACCCCAAAGAAGCTGTAAAGAACTGTGGAAATAAGGGATGTACACATAAGACAAGCAAACACTGCCATGCAAGCAAAACGATCGCCAAGGACTGGGTTGATTTGCATAAACACAGCATGTGAACGTAGAAACACAAACAGAAAAACTGGATTACGGTCAAGTACAGGCCTCAGAATACGACACTTGAAATAACAATACAACAAACCTGATGACAGCAACAGAAAGGAACCAAGCCCAGGAGGACACCGTGAGTCACTGAAGTAAACAGTGCCCCCAAATTCTTAGGAAAGAGAGGAAAGCATTTAGCCATTCCGCATCTGTAAAGTAAGACAAGAGATGTGGAACAGCCACCTCACACTGTCTTCTGGGTAGCTACCCCAGTACAAGAACCCAGCTCTCATTTCCCAGTAAAGAAAGTTACACTTACAGAAAATATTTACATGATAAATACCTTCAGTATTACAAAACCAGCATTGCTCCTCTAGTGGAAAATGAAAAAACACGTCCTAAATTCTGAAAAAGTGAAAATCACGGGTAAAAGGTTATGAGAGATGTAGTCAGGTATAGCCAGGTATCTGGGAACCCTGCCTGCTGCGTGCTATGGGCTGAGGGTAGCTCCAATCCTTTCCTCTTCCTCTCTCCTCCTACTCCCACTTCCCACCGTACTGTACTGTTTCTGATTTTCAAAGCCCTGGGCAAAGAATTCATCACTTTTTGACAGGTGAAAGCCTGGCAAGCTCTCACCAAAACCTGCCTTTTGTCATGTGGATGTGGCAGCAACCCCAGATTTTACATTCAGAATTCAAGAAGATAAGCGAAAACACTCACCACGTCTTCAGCGAGTCAGAGGCAAAGGTGATAGGTCAGCCTGGGTCCAATCAAAAAGAGAAGACTGGGGAAGGGGCTTGGGTCAGAAGCCCCCGAGTTCAAACCCCAGTACGGAAAAAAGAGAGAGAGAGAGAGAGCGCACACCATAATCTGAATAAGCAAAGTCAAAACAAGAAGTATTGACTATAACAGGCCTGGAGTAAGAGTGAACTGGCTGGTCAGAAGGGAATCCTAGAGAATGGAGCGTGCTCAACCGCCAGCATATCAAGCATGAAGCCGGAGTTCAAACCCCAGTGCCGCCTACAGATGAACAGCCACTATCCCTGCTGCCGAGACGGGAGGTCCAAAGAAGAACACCCCTTCAGGCAAAAATCAAACCAAGACCTTTCCGGAGCTGGCACAGTCGCGGCTGGCTGAGTGGCAGGGATGTCTCCGTGGGCACCTCACGTTACAACCAACTTCTCTAATCTGCCAGAAACTCTCCGTCCAAGTGCCTGAAAAAGCGAGAGGAAAGCCGGGCTCACTGTTGACCGCTAGGTGCTGCCGACCACAGCGCACTCCAAGAGCCTGCAGGAGAGGGCGCTGCAGGAGAGGGCGCTGCAGGAGCGCACATGAAGGGGCGGCCAAGGCGCACACTCGCCAGCAGGTGCTAGAGCAGCTGCGCGCTGGCAAGGCGCACCCGGAGCTGACGCACACGGGCACGCGCAGCGCACCGCACCGACAGGCATGCGCAGCGCACTGACAGGCACGCGCAGAGAACAGGCGCATCGGGGACACGCGCTTGGCTGCACGCTCAAGGAGGAGGCTCACCCGGGCATGCGCACTGCACCGAACTGACAGGCAAGCGCCGGACTCGGTCGCATTGCGGCAAACGCTCCGCACCACCGCGGCATACAACGGGAGCAGCGCACCCGGCATGTGTACCGCACTGAGAGGCACACTCAGTGAACTGGTGCATCCAGGGCACACGCACTGTGTCCATGGGCACGCACAGGGAACTGACGCACCAATGACATACGCACTGCGGCACACGCACGCAGAAGGAACAGGTGCACCTGGGTCACACGCACCACGCCCACGATCACACACAGGGAATGGACGCACTGGGGTACTGCACCACACCGGGACACCGCACAAACAGGTATATGCAAGAAGCACACGCACGCTGCACACGCTCCGCAGCACATGCACAAGCAGGGAGCAGGCGCACCCGAAGTGCGTGCATCGTGGCGCACGCATGCGCAGGGACTAGGCGCACCCTCAGCAAAACGCACCCTGTCCACAAGTGCGTACAGGGAGCGGAAGCGCCCTGAACATAACGCACCACAGCACGCACATGCCCAGGGACCAGGTGCACCGCGGGCACACACATCATGGCGCACACGCATCATGGCGCACACGCGCGGGGAACGGGCGCACCCTGGTCCGCGCACTGTGGCACGCGCATGCGCAGGAAACAGACGCACCCTGAGCAAACGCATGCGCAGAGAGTAGGCGCACCGTGGGCACACGCACGCACAGGGAGAAGGCGCACCCTGGGCGCACGCACCGCGGCACACGCACGCACAGGGAACAGACACACCCTGGGCACGCATATCACGGCACACGCATGTGGAGGGAACAGGCGCACCCGGGGCACGCACAGAGAGCCCACAGGCACGCACAGGCAGCGAGCGGACTACGGCATGGGAGCCACGCATGCGCCTAGGAGCCGCAGGCGGCAGAGTTGCCGCACGCAGTCAGGGCGCAGAAGCGCGCGCATGCGCACATGCAACACACGCGCGCGCGCGTCGGCACCGAGAATTTCAGTCATTCGGAACTTCCCCATGCAGAAAATCCAGGAACAAACGATTTCGTGGGTGAGTTCTATCAAATGTGTAAAGAAGAAATGGGGCCGCATCCCAAGACATCATTACTGCTGCATCCAAGCCGAAGACGTCACACGAAGAAAATTCCACCTTCCAGTGTTCAATATAAACACACAGTTCCTACAGAACACCGTCAGCTGAATCCTGCACCAAATAAAAGCATACAGTGTGACCAGGACGGCCTCGTCCCCAGGAGGCAAAGTTAAGGTAACAGCAGTAAATTAATGTAACCAGTCTCCAGTTTAAGAACAAAGCCCCGGGCTCATCCCGAAAAATGCAAAGAGCAGTTTTCATCACCGGTTCAAAAGCATCCTCAGCAATCTAGGGGAGTCCTTCAGCCAGTAAGGGGCATTGATGGGGAACACGGGTGGCGTGACGTCCACAGGAAAAGACGATGCTCTCCTCCCCCATCAGGACCGTGTCGGGAAGGCCCACCCTCTCCATGTCCACTCGGCAACGCGCTGGAGGTTCCAGCAATCAGGCGAGATGGGCATGAGAAATAAAGGCATCGGGAGGAAGGGACTAGCACACCTGTCTTTATTCACAGATTACAAGCTGCATGTAGAAATCCTCTGAAACGTACCAAAAAAAAAGTAAAAAAAAAAATCTCGCTGGAAAGAAAGATCGGGTCAGCAAGATTTCAGAATACAAAATCAACATGCTATCAACAAAGAACCCCATAATGACATTTTAAATACAAATCTATTCACAATAGCATTAAAAAAAAACCCCTTTGAGAAAAACTTAAGAAAAGAGAATATTTGTATGCTGAAAAAAGATAAATATTGTTGAGAAAAGTGGGAAGACATTACATGTTCACGTTGAGATGCTAATTCTCCCCCAAGCGGACCCATCGATTCAATACAATTCCTTTGAAATCCACTGCAGCGGGTTCTGTGGGAAAAGGACACGCTGGGCACCAATGGTTCACCACGGTAATCCTAGCTACTAGGGAGGCAGAGATCAGGAGGGTCTCAGCTGGTGGCCAGCCCCGGCAAATAGTTCTCCACACCCTACCCGGAAAATACCCAACACTAAACAAGGGCTGGTGGAGTGGTTCAAGTGGTAGAGCACTTGCCTAGCGAGCGTGAGGCCCTGAGTGAAAACTCTGGTACCACCAAAAACAAAACAAAAAACTTCTAATAACAAGTGTTGGTAAGAATGTGGAAAAGTCAGAACTCTCTCATATTGCTGGTGGGGTATAAAATGGCTCAGTCGCACTGGGAAACAATTTGGTAATTTTTTGTTAGTATATATTAATTGTACAAAAGGAGTTTCATTATACTTCCATACATACATAAATACTCTGATCCTACTCACCCTCCCTTATCATTTTCTTATCTCCTACACTCTTATTTTTTTTAATTCCCCCCTCCTCCTACCTTTTAAAAAAACACTAACAGGTTTCATTAGTTTTCATACATGCCTGTAATGTACTGACCATAATCACACAGCCCCAGAACCCACTCCTTTTGTCTGCCCCCTCAATAGCCCCTGTTTACATTCATGTCTGCCTTTCTTTTTTTTAGGTCTAGATTCCACATATGAGAGAAAAACGTGATTTATCTTTTTAAATCTGACTTATTTCACTTAACATGATGCAAACAGCATAATGTCATTCTTTTATGGCTTAGTAACACCTAATTGTATATCTGTAACACATTTTCCGTATTCATTGACTGGCAGGCACCTAACTGACTGCACAGCTGGCTATGGTGAGCAATGCTACGATAAACACGGGTGTGCAGGCATCTTTGTTGTTCACTCACTCACATTCCTTCAGATTAATGCCTGCAAGCAGTAAAGCAGGATCATATGGTAGTTTTATTTCTAGTTTTTTCACAAACCTCCATACTCATTCCCATAGTGGCTACACTCATTTACATTCCCACCAACATGTGTAAGAGTCCCTTTTTCCCAACATCCTCACCAGACTTGTTTTCCTGACAATACGTTTGGCATTCTTAAAAACTTTAATTTGCTATACAAACCCAGCAGTTCAACTCTATGTGTGCAAGAAAATAAAAATGTGCAGACTTGCACACACATTTACAGCAGCATTATCTATAATAGCAACCTCAGTGTCCACCACCTGATAAAATGTGTTATATACAAACAGTGGACACAAGCCAGCAACAGCAGGAACTACTGACGGGAGCCATTACGTGCCTGAGTCTCCAAAGCTGCATGGACCAGACACAGGGAGCACCTAGTCTATGAGTCCCTTTATACGAAATGTCCAGAAACATTAATCCAGACACAGAAAGCAAACCAGTGGTAGCCTGGGGCTGAGTGCAAGCGCAATACAGTGATGCAAAAGTGTAAAACTGAACTGTGGGGATCACTGAACAATTCCAAATGTGTACTGCATTTGCTCAAAGTCCTTTAGTTGCTTTGAAAACAGAGCATGTGGCTTCCTCAAAAAGGTGACCTCCAGAAGCCAGGTGGAGTGGTATAGTCACAACACACTCCACCAGAGGTAGGAGAATTGGGAGTTCAAGGCCAGTCTGGGCTCCCCAATGAAACCCTGTCTCAAAAAAAAAAAGTGATTTGCATATGAACTCTGAACTCTGTCTTCTTGAAACCACAGAAAGACAAGTTCCAGAGATGCAGTATCTGGTGTTTTTTCATTTTTGGAAGTTAGTCATTCAGGATTCATAAACAAGAACAGAGAATATTCATAGCCTATGTGAAAATAAATTTTTTAAATCCTATCAGACTGAACTCTGGCCTGGTTGAGGCTCTACCCTCCCTACTTGGAACCACCACTCATGTGAGCTTCCTCTGGGCCTCTCAGTGGCCTAGATAATCAATCCAACTTTCTCCTGGCCAGGCCGGCCTCCCTGGAGCTGGTTTTCATAAGTACAAAATTTGTGTAATTGTTATTGGAACTACTTGCAGAAATATGGAGCTAGTTAAGAATACCACTTGTTTTTAAATGTACATGCAGTTTCATATACATGCACCAGCATATCTTCCACATCCAGTCAAGCAATTGAGCTAATGTGCTTTTTTGTTAAAAAAAAGTACAGAACCAAAAATACCAATACAGATTTTGCCCTTCCTTTCTGTGGCCTGAATGTCTTTTTCAAGAAGTCAGGCAGAATATGACAGAATAAAAAGATGAATTAAAATACATAATATACGAAATTATAATTAGCCCAGCTCTAAAGTAGGGGGATATAATTTTTACGCTGGAGGGAGAGATGAAAGTGGCCTTTAATGAAGTAGGAAAACATTCTTTTTTGATGCAGTCTTTCTTGTAAGCAGTAATATATACTAGTCCTTCCTTCCACGTGAATCTGGTATAGTGAGTTACTCAGAGACCGAATCAACTTCATTTAAGCTTGATGGATAAAGTCCACAATGATCCAGGAATGGGGGGAGGGGAGGGGATAAAGGAGAGAGGTGGAGAGGGTGAATTCAAGCATGATGTATTTGATACATTGCAAGAACTTTTGTAAATGCCACAATGTACCCCCATCCAGCACAACAATTTAAAAAAAAAAAAAAGGTCACAACGAACATGTTTCTGTCTACTCTTATGTAATGAGTGATCCCAACACATGGAATGAATTCTGTCATTTGTAACAACCTTCCCTCCCTCCTTAAGGAAGTAACGAGAGAATATCCTGCACCATCTATCAGGAAAGGTGAGTGACACTCAGAAATAGCTGAAGTCCCGGTGGCCCAGAAGTGCTCTGCTTAGCGGGCACCAGTAATCCTATAGCTGCTTAGGAGGCTGAGGTTGGGAGAATGGAGATTCGAGGCCAGCCCAGGGAAATAGTTCACAAGACCCCCATCTCCAAAATAACCAAAGCAAAACGGACTGGAAGTGTGGCTCCAGTGGTAGAGCGCCTGCTTTGCAAGTACAAAGCTCAGAGTTCAAACCCCAGTCCCACCAAAAGAAAAAAAAAAAAAAAAAGGTGTTCTGTTGATTAGGTAAATGGTAAGCCACTCATATGGGGCACAGGTGGGGCTGAGCCCAGGAGCCCAGTTTTCGAACCCTTTCAGATTAGAAAAAAAGCCCAGCACACCCAGGTCTTTGCTAGAAAAATTCTTTGAGGTTCTCATCCCCAACGTGCTATATTCCAAAGCCCGCACCTAGATCAATGAGGGTTCACAGCTGTAACTGCACCCACCTGAAAAACTTATAAACTACAACCAGGAAATCTCTCAAGGGTTGGGGTAAGCAATCCCATCAGAGGACCCCCCCCCGCCCGAAATCCTGCGACCCCAGGCCAAGAAGGCCAAAGGGACAGCACCGCATCTCGGGCTCCTCGAACTGAGCCTCGCCCCCACCTCGCGCCCCGGCGCAGAGAACGCGATGGGGGTTAAACAGAGCTTTTCACAGATCCGACGCGGGGTGGAGGGGGGGAACCGCCTTTCCTCCTTTCCCTTTAAGAAAACCCAGCCGCCAGCGCTCAATGAACC